TCACTGGATTTCAATAAAAATTTGGGCAAAATGATCAAATTATAAAAGATATATTTTTTTGAAGGAGAAGGAATGGAAAAAAAATCCAATATAAATTTTTTTTTTAGATTTTTTACTGAATAAAAAACATTTGAAATACTGTTTATCATTGCCTTTTTTCTCATCAGAAAAAAAAAATCGATTTAAAAAAAAAAAATTCCAAAATTCATCTCATTATCGGATTTCAGTAAAAGTTCTGGAATTTCAACAAAGAGAATACATATTATTTTTAAAGAAGGAAGGACAGAATCACCTCAAAAGTTTAGAAAAGTATTTGGATTTTGTTTAAAAATTTATTAATTTGGTCGTTTGCAATTGTTTAAATGGAGCCGTCAACTTTAAATTTACCCGTTTTAAATATGAGTGCTTGATAAAATAAATGCTAAACAAAATTAAGGATCTGAACTCAAAAAAATAACCGATACTGATACCTTTTAGTGAAAAATTATTAATATATATATATATATATATATATATATATATATATAAAAAACAAACCACTTTAAGTCAAGTTATGATAATTTTTTTTTTTAAAGAGCCCTTTTAAGGACGTCGGATCATCAGATACCACTTCCAAAAATGAAATGAAACGAAAAAACGAAATATATATATATATATTTTAATTTATATTCTAGTTCTACATCTGTAAAAAAAGATGTCTGCCAGGCAGTAATCAATCAGTAACAAACAATCTGTAACAAAAGTATATCTATAACAAAAATAAATAATATTTGTAACAAAAAATCTGTTTATAACAAAAGAATGTCTGTAAAAATAAACCATGTGTGCAATGAAAAAGCAATCATGAATATCTACAAAATAAAAAAAATAGTAGAAAAAAAATGTCTGATTGAACAAGACAAAATAATGTCTGTCTGTAAACAACAAAAAATAAATATCTCTAGGCAAAATGTCGAGAAGCTCTGAAATAAGATAAAAATGCAATAATTTATTCATATAAATAGGATATTCCATTAATATTTTACTGCATAATACATTTGGTATTTATTTATAAGTTAAAAACATTATTACAGTTTAATATTATGATAATTGAATCACACTCATAATAAAATATTATGAATAATTTATTCATAAAAGATATACAAACACCTCAGTTCTCGAACGTTTTTCACATATCGAACAAATCGATTATCGAACAAAATTTCGGTTTTCGAAAAACATAGCCTAAACGAAAAAATGAATGGAATAATTTCTGACACTGCCGTGTTGTATACATTCAGGATTTACGTGTGTGTTTTTCTTTACCATTTTTCTTGCAATGTGTTTATTTTCTATATATTTATTCCTATAAGAAAAATAGTTTCGGTTTGAACATTTCAAGTTAAACGGCCTTATATTGATTAAATTTATGAACCGAGGTTCCATTGTATATAATTAAATATATATATAAATATTGCATATTCTAAATATAATTATATTCTGAAAATTGTACTGGCATCTGTTATCAACGTCACTTTTGTGAAAAGCAATATTCTATGAAAATCTAGACAAATTTAGTATGATATTATTTATGCGGTATTTTTTGTTTATAAAATTGCAGATCAGAGATAAAACAACCGTACTATACTAATTTCAGTAAACATATTAAATACGTAGTCACGATATTTGAAATAAGATTTTTCATCTTAATACAGAAAAGCTATTTTTCAAATATCAACATTTAAATATATATATATATATATATATATATATATATATATATATATATATATATATTACAATGAATCATTCATATAAAAAGTAAATTAGTAAAGTTAATGATATAAAATGGCGAAAAAACTTTGCTAACAAAATTTTAAAGATGCATTAACCTACTAATAACTCGATGAATGTTATGATCCTTGTTTTTTAAAAATTATAAGCTGTATAAGGTCTTTCTTAAATACGCAAGTACTTTTCGACTGTACATTCAGTCATCTTCAAGGCATGGAAATTATTTTGTTTAATGTAATGCGAATCGAAATATGTTTTTTTTAAATGCGTTTTTATAATGGATAAAAACTTGTGGAGCGTGCAATTGTTATTTTTGGAAAATTTAAGTGAGTGAATTTTTATATAATATATATATATATATATATATATATATATGTATATATATGTGTGTGTGTGTGTGTGTGTGCAGATCGGTGGCTGGATTTATGAGCCACAGTCAACATAACCATTGAATGCAGTGTTGTAGGGTGGAATTTAATTGAAATGATGTCCATACTCACATTTTAAGATGATATAGCCACCATGTGTATATATATATATATATATATATATAGACACACACACACGTATGTGTGTGTCTGTATATCTACCTATATTTATATATAAGTGTATGTATATATGTGTGTATGTACATCTATATATATATATATATATATATATATATATATATATATATATATATATATATATATATATATATATATATATATGCAGCATGTGTGTGTGTGTGTTTGTGTATATAGATATTTCTCACCCAACCACACAGATTGAGACAAAACTTTAAATATGCACTGATCACATAAAATTATTACAATTATGTTTAACTTTAGAGAAAATAAATAATTTATAATATAAAAGAAAAAACAATTAACAAGAAATTTTATAAGAAGTAAAAAACAAAAAATGTCCAATAGTTTTTTTATTTTTATTTTTTTAATGTAGCCGTGATATTAAGAAAGTTTCATCCCAGCACATGTCTACATGACACATCGATTGTATATTGCAATGGAAAAAGCAAGTGTGTGCATTAAGAAGTGAGGATTATTGAATTCTACATATTTATTCAAAGCAGTCATCCAATGTTTTTTTTTAAACACTATTGTCTGTATATCCCTATACAATTGTGTAAGGAAACTATCACACATGTAATCAGTGTTATATGTGAATTTTATACAATTCGATTAACACACTTTCCTACTTGGCTGTGTATGTTATACAATACATTGTACTTAAGAAAAATTCAATATGTGTTTGTATGATCAACCTTTGTGCCTAAAATGGGTTAGTTTACAAAATTAAAATGTAGACAAAAGTGCATTTACTTCACCTAATTTGTCTATACTCTGTTCTTGGAGAAGTCAATCTCTAGTCTTCTATTCTATGTCTTTATCTATCTATACTCCCATCTGTCTATCTATACATCAAAACTCATATCTCTACAACTAGCTTCATATCTCTCTCTCTCTCCTTATTCATAGCTATTACTCATATACTCATATCTATCTATATAAATTTATCTTCATATCTAATTTATATATATATCTTCATATCTAATTTATATATGTCTATCTTCATATCTAATTTATATATGTCTTCTTCATATCTAATTTATATATGTCTATCTTCATATCTAATTTATATGGTTAGTCTATCCCCTATATGTCTATCTTCATATCTAATTTATATATGTCTATCTTCATATCTAATTTATATATGTCTATCATTCATATCTAATTTTAGTCTATCCATATCTATATATCTATCTATCTTTATCTTAGTCTATCCCCATCTATTCTTAGTCTATCCATATATCACTAAGTCTATCCATCTATCATCTATCTATCTACAAATCCATTCTATTAACTATCATATAAATCCATATCTATCTAACTTTAGTCTATCTTTTAGTCATCCATATCATATCTATCTATCTTAGTCTATCCATATCTATCTTCTGCCTTAGTTATCCACTATCTATCTATCTTATTCATCCATATCTTATTCATCCATTCTATCTATCTATCCATCTCTTCTATTTATCTATCACAGTCTAATTTTCTACCTAAGAGGGCAAAACAGTATCGTAATTCAACCAAACTATAAAACTAAAAGAAAAATCCGAAATATTTTATCGTTACCATCATCACTGCAATCATTCCAATGGCTAAAAAGAAAACAACATATAATTTTATCATTTACGTTATATACAAATAGCTTTGCCTGTTATTAATTAATAACAAAATCAGGCGACCTTAAAGTTAGACAACAGAATTGTTGCCTTGCTGTGCGGACCAACAAACTGGCACTTCTTGGTTTATCACACCATTTCGTAAAAATACTTTTATTTTTTTTTACAATAGCGTTGGTAATTATAGCAATATCCCTCTAAAAATAAGCAGTCAGCTGTGTACACACATAAACAATGTGTACACCTTATGTTCTTTTTACATTCTGTGTGTGTAGTCAATATACCACAGCTGGGGTCTATTCTCCATCTGATTATTTATCTAACTTTTTTTTGTTGAAATCTGTTTGTCACTCACTCCCGTAAAAAAACATCATAAATAATCTCTTTTTAGTCAGTAATCTATTTTTATTTCACGATATTGACAACCGTTATTTTTGCTAGTTTGGTGGCTAAAATGATGGTATCGAGTTTTATTAACTAGCGCCAACAATTCATATTCAAGTTCAACTAAAAAAAGAATAAAACCGATTTTCAAATCAGACAGGGATATTTTTTCTTTAAAAAAATGGCGCTATAAAGTCTTCTTTAACTCTAACATTTATTGAAATTACTACTACAAATGTACAAGCTGAGATTTGCAAATGGTCAGTATAAGGGTCATTGTTTACGAGTACAGCCCACGATGATAATGACACTTACACCTGGACCTTATGTTTTTATCTGGTACGCTTGAACTAGCACCTGAATGCAGGTATCTAGGTCTATGGGGAAAATATTTCAACCCCAATTGGTAATTAATTTTTACATGTACTTAACTTTCGGAGTCAGACAATATTGGAAAATAAAAATTTACACTGGAGCCATTTGAAGAGTACACGTGTCACTCACACACACGCACAAAGCAGTAGCATTTGATTTGATATATTTTTTAGTTCTTTTTAGTCATTAAACCCCAAAAAGACATTGTTACGTAAATGGCGTCGGAAGCACACACACGCACGCAAACACACACACACACACACACACAAAAAGGGAATAGCTAAAGGAGAGAGAGAGAGAGAGAGAGAGATAGAGAGAGAGAGATAGAGATGAACAGACTAGGAACAGACGATAGATAGATTGATTGATTAGATAGAGATGATAAGAATAAGATTGATAGATAGATAAGAATAGATAGATAAGAATAGATAGATATGATAAGAAGAAGATAGATAGATAAGATAGATAGAGATAAGAATAGATAGAGATAATATAGAGACGATAGATAGACAGACAGAAACAGACTGTAGAGTGTAGAAATATATAGATATGCGATGAACAGACTGTAATTGAATGAACAGAATGTATTGTACATGGATATGATCAGCCTGTGAACAGATTGTAGGATATGAATACTGTGTTGTGTATGAACAAACTTTATGAACAGACTATATAAATATGAAATGAACATAAATAGAGAGTAGTAGACTGTATAGATTTTTGAACAGACTGTGTTGATAGATAGATAGATAGATAGATAGATAGATAGATAGTGTTACGAAAGTCTTCGATAGACTGAAAACAGAAAAATTGCGGTTTTTACACTGTTTTCAGACAAGCGCACTTCAGCAGACAGTAAAAAAAACTTAAACGTTAAGTAAGAGTAAGACACAACAAGAAGGAGAATGATCTTCTATCTCTTTTTTTGTCTCTATCTACAGAACTTCAAAAATAAAAAAAAATAATTCGCTAAAATCTAAATAAAGCACTGACCACTTCAAAGAGGAGTTGTTGTTTTTTTTCAGACTACCTCACCCCCCGCCCATGTTCCATCTTCTCCACTCGTATATACAAACAATATTCCAATGCATAAAACAATTCAATTAAGTCTGGATATTGCTGGAAGAAGAACTGATCACAACAGTAACATTAAAAAAAAAATCTTCTCTTTTTATTTTTAAACAGATCCAATTTACGGTGACACGGTCACGTGACCAGACACCACACGCCGCATTTCGATATCACTCGTATATAAACTAACAAAAAAACAGTAACCCTGTTCCTTAAGTTTATTTATTTTTAAATCGAAAAATATTTAAAAATAAATAAATAAGATCTTACATTGAAAAAGAAACAAAAAGTCCAAATAAAAATTATATAATAAAAACAAAATGAAATAAATAAATAAATTATAATTTATATTATGAAATGAATGTTTGTATGTCATTTTTTTTGTTATAACCTTGAAATAACTATCAATATTGTCAAAAAGTTATTTAAGTAGTTGCTTGGTTATGAGGCGAATCAAAGAAACGGCCTGTGAAACATTTCCCAGAAAATTACTAACTACTTACTTACGCAATCACAAATCAAATACCCATATAAAAATTTTATCAGGTCAGTGTACACTGTACAACTGACCTGATAAAATTATTGGAAAAAAAAAACAACAAAATATCAAAAGTAAATAAATAAAATAATTTAAAAAAATTAAAAAATAAAATTTTAAAACAATATAGCCTTTTTTTTTTCTTTCTTTACAAACAATTTTTGTTAGTTGAAATTTTTTTCGAAGTTTTCCCTAAAAAAAAAAAAGAGAATCCCATATTTTGCTAGTAAAATAAACATTTTGGTGGATTTGAGATGTCAAAGTGACTGAGGAAATTTTAAGATCCCCCTCTTTTTGGCCAGACAGTGTAATAGTTGTAAACTCCCACATTAGGTCACATGAAAACAACACAAACACAGTTTTACTTTAAGGTGTACATATAAAAACATGTGTTTGATACTTTTTGGTCGTATCCTTACCAGATAAAAGTACATAATTCAAACAAAGGTGATCTTACTGGCCAAACCTTATATAATTCCAATCTTCAAACTAAATTAACCTACACTGGAAACGACACTGGTTTTTTTTCCTCGTAATCGTGTGATATAATAAGTATTTATTTTGAGGTCACCATACACTCCAGTGTATCTATCACGGTATTTCTAACATTTCTATTGTGATATACAATAACAAAACATAAAGTAAGCGAAATATAAGGTCTTTTTTTTTCTTTTTTAAATAAAATTAAATTAGAAAGATAAGTCTGTTTTTAAAGTTATCCTAATTACAAAGAGTACCAAAGATGGTATGTAGAGTTGGACAAAGATGCTAAAAACCTAGTTTTTATTAATTTAAATAAAACTAGAACATTAAAGTTGGAATGGTTCCTCTTGAGCAGAAAAGTTGATAGATCTTTTGAAAATTTAAAAAAAAAATGACAATAAATAATAAACAAATGAATAAACAAACAGAGATTTCATTTTTTTTCTACTCACTAGCTTTGATTTTTCAAGGAAAACTTATTTCTGACAAGATAATTTCAGTTTTAAAGTGGAAAGAATCGAAGATCAACAATATAATTTTAGGAAAATTATATTTTAGCTCTTTTTTATGAAATAAAGACACACAAAAAATACAAACAAACTATAAAGTACAAATAATAAGTGGAAAAAAGGAAAATAAATATTTAAAAAAAATACTTACTAAGTCCTTCCAAGCTCGCTTCTTTACCCATTCTGCTCATATCATCAAAAAAATATATAGATATATATATAGATATATATATATATAGATATATATATATATATATTAATGAAGATCAGTTTTAATAACTTTTTCTCTCAATGTCTTATATTTTCTCCACTATCGTCTGTCTCTTTTTCCAAACCACGGATTTTTTTTTTTTTTTTTAAAAAAAAAAAAAAAAATTTTTTTTCCTTAAATTAAGAACTTTACATGAATTTGGTAAAATTTTCCCCCTTAGTTTTTCAAGGCAAGTACTCAATTTCCTTCACTTTTCTTTCTTTCTTTTTTTGCGTAATGAAGGACAAATAACAAAGCAGTGAATAGGAAAATTGTTTTGATAACAGGAAGTCGGTTGTATTTTTAGTATGGTCGGTCGTCCTGGCTTGGTCCGGTCTAAATGACCCGACCCGAGGGGCGATTTTTTGGTCAGTGTCCTGGCGTTGTAATTGTCAGACCGGATGGACCTCTAACGACTGACCAATGTCCACCTTCTGTCGGGTTCTGTGGTTATCGCTGGGGGACTCGATTCCGGCCAGGGTGGAGCTGTAATAATAATAATAATAATAAAAATAATAATAATAATGTTAATAAATAATAATAATAATAGCATAATAATAGCATTAGTAATAAAAATAAGAAGCATAAAACACTCACTACAGACGAAACAAAATGCATTTTTTAGTCTTTGTTACTTTTTTTGCCGTGTGCCAATGTATTTTTTATTCATCTTGCTGTTTTTACATAAAAACAAAAACATTTCTGGTTCCATTTTTAAGTACTAAAAATAGTTTATATACTTTTTTTTTCTTCGTTTAGTTTTGTTTTTAAAAAATGTAAGATTTTTAAACAAAGTCTGAGTGAAAAAAACTGAAAATATACTTTTTAGTTGTTTTTTTTTTTAACAATTAAGCAAGCAAAACCAAAAAAAAAAACCCCCAAAACACGCACTTTTACATTTACAATAATTTAAAAATATGTTTATGTATCAATTAAAATATTTATCACAGAGAATGTTTATAAAATAAACTATAATGAAACTTTATATCTGCAGCTATTAATATCTCAGTGAGTCAATATGTTTCTGCCTTCAAAAAAGAATGTTTATCTGTCTGTCTGTCCGTTAAAAATTAGCTAAAAAAAGAAAAAAGTGTGTACACAAAGTACTTTTCACTAACACACACACATACACAACTAACCGACTAACCGGTTTATGTATGTACACATGTGTGTATGTGTGTAGGGGTGACTAAGTGTATATTCATAGATATTGTGCATTAAATGGTAATAAAGTGTATAATTACTTACTTACACACTTTTGTGTGTGTCTCCCTTACCAGAAGAGTCACAATTTACCACAGTAGATCTATTACTACTACTACTACTACTACTACAACATTGCGTCTACCACCACCACCATCACTACTACTATTATTATTACTATTATTATTATTATTACTACTACTACTACTACAGCTACTTTTCAATGCAGGTGTTCTTGTTAGTTCTGCTGCTAGAGGACTGATATGTGAATCTAAAGAGAAGGGAATAAGCCACGCCGACAAACACCTATTCATCACTTTCTGACTGACTTTTTCTATCATTCTCTTCTTTCTTTTCGCAATATATATATATATATATATATATATATATATATATATATAATTGGGTAACCGTAAAAATGTGTTCTTTGCAATAAAAAGATGCAAAAAAACAGTTATTTATTCAACAAGTCATTTTTTAAATAGAAATATTTTTTCTTTACATTTTTAGTTTTAAAAAAGTTATTTATTACATTTTTATTTATATTTTAATTTTATTAACAGAGAAGGATAGAGAAAGACATGAACAGACTGGCATAGATAGATAGATAGATAGATAGATAGATAGATAGATAGATAGATAGATAGATAGATATTTACATGTGTACAGAACAGAACACATATTGATAGAAAGAAACTTACATTTGCATATGTGTATATGTGATGTGAAGATGTGTGAAGAGAGATAGATATTGGGAAGAAAGAGGAGAAAATAAAGAAAGATTAAAAATAATTTGTATTTTCTCTTTTTTTATGAATATAAGTTGTGAGAAAAATATTCTTTATCCATAAAAATACTGTCATATTTACATTGAATATAGAAATTTAACAAACACATTGTGTAAATAAACACTAAAAAAAAAAAAAACAGTGATAACCCTAAACTAAAGGATTAACAATAATAAAAACATATGAGGTTTTCCAAATAAAATAATATATATTATTTTTTGAATTCAGTTTCGTTAATGGACCTTTTGGAATGTTCACACATACTAATACACACTCCTTGACACTTTTAAAAAAGGTTTAAGCAAAAAGTCGAATAATGATACTAACTTAGAGAGAGCAAGAGAAATAGATAGATAGACAGATAGAGAGGAGGCTAAGGACAGACGAAAATCCAATATTTGACCCCATTTTGAAGAGAGGAAGAAAGACCTGGCTAAGTTAAATGTAGTACACATGAAAATGTTATCCACAAATGGTGCGTGTGTGTCAGGGCACACACGCACAGATAGATGCGAGCGAAAATACACATTTATTGTTTATAAATCAAGTATTGTATTATTGTGTGTGTATGTGTGTGTATGGCTATAGGAAGAAACTTTAAATAGACTGAATATAGACATTATAAGCACGTGAAAAAAAACAAAAAAAAACTAACGAAACAATTATCGTCAATATAAGAAAATAAATAAAAAAAATATTTGAATTCAGTTTTTTACAGTATTTATTTTATTTTTGTCTCCTTTTCTCACCCTGTGAAAGGATACTTCACGTAGTATATATATATATATAATACATCATAAACATATATACATTCATTCATAAATAAATTAGATATTTTTTCCACATTTTTCACAGTTTTTTCCTAAAATATCTAATTTTTTTTTACCACTTTCGATAAGTGTGTTTTTGTTTTATTACGAATTGACCGGTCGCTATATTCTTCTTTGCAAATTTAAATGTGTGTGTGTGTGTGTGTGTGTGTGTGTGTGTGTGTGTGTGAGTGAATGAGGAGTATTCTTTAAAATGAATATATAGATATGTTCTAGTGAACTTTTAACACGAAAACACACTGAAAATTAACACGCATATACATACACACACACGCGCGTGCGCGCACCTAACGTGACCCCCACACCACCACCACCAAAAAAAAAAAGTAAGTCAAATATTTGCAATTTTTGAAAATTAAGTCAAAAATCGACCGTCTGATTCTTGGTTCACGCTGACATTTAAATTAAAGAAAAACTAAACATACACACATTCACTGGTAAATTTTACATATCCGACGGTTTTAATTAAGATTATTTGCCTATTTCACGCTAAAAAACAGAGTTTCTAACAAATTTGAACGTTCCCTATGGAGAGAAAAGCATCAGGTTTGAAAATTGATGTCGAACAAACGTGGAATCCCATAGCATTTAAAAACTGTGTCAAAATTCTTCGTGTACCTATGGCATTCTTTTGTTTGTTTTTTAGATCTTCCTGCTCTTAAAAACAAAATTAACACATCGCGAAGGTCTTAAGACTGAATAAAAGTTCTAAATACCTTAATTTTTATATTAAAAAAACACTAATTTTTACTAAATTCTTTTTGTGAAAAAGTTAAAACCAAGTCTCATTGGTTGGTTGTTTTTTTTCCCTTTCAGTGTTACTGTTGTTTCTTACTGTGTTAACCCATATTCACAATTGAATGATTATTTACAATCACAAAAAAGTAATCACCGGCAACGACTTATAAACAACACTTAGACAGAAAAGAGTATTTAAAAAAAAAAAGATAGTTAAAAACCAACCTTTTTAAGATCGTTTTAGGGGTATAATGTCATTGTCTAGTTTCCAATTACCCCTTTCCGTGCAGTACTGTAATGTCCAGACTGTATGGAGTAAGTAAAAGTTGTTTTTAATCCACAAAAAATAGTTGATAAATCAGAGTAAATATCTCCTTGTCGTATTTTTAAAAAATCTTTATCTTTCTCTCTCTCTCTCTCTTGTTGTTGTTTATAATTTGTCCTTAAAGAGAAGTGGTTCTCTTTTTACGTTATTCCCATATATACATGACTTCCTTTCTTCTTCTTTGTCAAACTTTTTCACGCGGACTACAACTTTTCACAATAAATTCTCAGTGCTGAATTAAGATGTGTCATGTGAAGGTTATACTTGTTCTTTCTATGTCTCTAGAATATCTTTCACTGTTTCCAAAGATATTCTTCATTAGTATCAAGTCCTTTTTTCCCCCCACAGTAGCGTGTGACCCGACAAAGCATCTTCGCTGATTTGCGCTTAAACCTCTTTCCACCCAGATATTATTCTGCTATACTTCTTTCTTCCTACAAGTGAACTTTTTTCTCTCTTTCTCTCTCGCACGCACTTATATAATTTACGACGTACACATATTATTCTTTGCGTACTTAAGAAGATATATCTATAAGTATAGACGTAGACATCTATCTATCTATACCAGATACGTATATATAGATTAATTTTAAATAGTTAAAAAAAAAAATCTTTATCCAAAATTAAGTCAATCAATTTTTAGTTAGTTACTACAGTACTGTCCAAAAAAGTTGTTTGATAGAAAAGTTGGCTTGTCGGGTAGAGCTGGTCCTTCTTTTGTTTGGGGTTGTGTTTTTAAAACGCTGTCTGTTTTAAAACGGGTGGCATTTGTTGTGAACAATCTTCTTACATATTCGCACATATTGATGATAATTTAATAGACAAGAGGCGAATTTTATAAGAAACAAAACAAAAATAAGTGTTTTTTTTTGTAAAAACGCTTTTTAAGCGAAGTGTCAAGTGGATAAAATTTTAGATTTTTGGGTCCTTTTTTTTTTTTTTTAAATGAACACGAAGAATGATGTAGAAAAACAAAAACAAAAAAGGATAAAAATAAAATTAAGTTTTTTACATGGATAAAAATAAAATGATAAAAAAAATGAAAACTTTAAAACAAAAGTTATTTGATAGTTTTTTTGTTTTTTTTTACTTTCAGAGAGGATAAAATGTAGTTTTCTTCTTTTTAGATTTTGTTTAGTGCAGGAAAAAACTAAAAAAAAAGTAGTGTTATGTTTGAATACAAGTGTTCTTTTTTTAAAAGTACACTCAGAGTCAAGGGCCTCCTTCTTTCCTTGTATTTCCGTAATAATGTTCTTTTCTTTTTTATTTGCTTTTCTCTCTTAAACAATTTCTACTTCTTAATATTTTTTTGCTTTCAGAGCCTTTTTCTCTCTTTCTGTTTTCAGTGCTTTTTCGTCTTTCTTTTTTTAGTATAGTTGTTTTTTAAGTGTTGGTCTGAAAGTCTCTCAGATACGTTCGTTTTTCTTCTTTCTCGCCTTCTCCGTCCAGTGTCGCTAAGAAGATGGAGATTTGTATCCAAAGAAGGAACAAGACATACAGATAGATAAAAATTTAGGACCTATATTAAAAAAAAAAGAAGAAAAGAATGAAAATGTCAGTTTTATCGCTGTTTCTTTTCTTTCTTTTTTTTTTTTTTTTTGTTGTTGTTGTTGTTTCAAACGCTAAACAGTGGATTCCGAAATTGATTATTTACTTTTTTGTTTGTTTTTCTTTAAGAATGTGAATTGTGAAGTAATAAAAATGTGGGTTACGTTTTTTTTTTTTTTTGGTTTGATGAAAAAAAAAGAAAAAGAAAGACAGAATGAAATTGAAAAGGGAACAAAAAACAGCTAGATTTCTTTTTCTTAAAAAAAACTGTTACATGTCATTCTTTTCTTTCACATTTTTTGTAGAGTTTAAATTTCTCTAACTACCCCGTCCGAAGGTTGTTTCTTTTAAAACCATATAGATGACGACAATAGATCTTGATTGCGTTCATCTTTAAGCTTTCCAATATTAAGGAAATAAAGTCAGAAAAGGCTAGAAATTGTGTGTGCTTGAGCGACAGAGAAAAAAGTGAGCTATATAAATCGTGTATTATTTAGGCGAATTGATTTTTTGTCTTTTTTTCTAGGAAAAAGTGAGAGTGAACATAATAATAGCCACTAGTAAATAGCAGATTAGTAGTAAAAGATAAAAGTAAAACAGTGAGTTTAGTGTCAACAGTCAACACAGACCCCTAAAAAAAGAGAAAAAGAAATAAACACCGAGAAAAAAAAAGGAAAGGAGAAAAAGAGACACCCTATTTAGTTTGTATGTGTCATGAACTCTCAATAATAAGACTGACACATATTATTACGCCACTTTCACCCTAAATCTCACATGTGCAACGAGCGCGCACGCACGCACACACACACATAGACACACACATCAAAATGCACCGAAACACTCACATATAAACACGAGCACTTAATTCAAAGACACGCACCTGACCTACATTTACAACGCTACTTCCCATTGGTCGGCATTTCCCCGCCATCTGGGGTCCAAACTGGCATCTGTAAACCTCAAATCAGGACCCCCAAGACCAGACCGAAGCTACTTAATGTCGTTACTGGCACTGTCCGACACGTTTCGTCCAGAATTGACACCCTAGATTCAGTTCTTGACCGTTTTCGTCCCGACCGGCGAACTGGGCAGACCAGATGTAGGTCACTGTGACAACACCAATCAGAGAAGCTGTTAGAAATGGGGCTTAGTTGGCGAGCGCGTTTGCTTTCTCTTGGCTTTTCTCTTTTCTTTCTCTTTCGCAGCAAACTATTTCGATGTGGACTGTTCTGTTCGCAAGACGATTTAGTTGTAAACAAGATATAAATAGATTGTGACACTGGTAATGTGGATACAGGCCTGAGGTCACGCTAAAAGCCTCGGAATATAATGCGTGTGTGTGTAAAAAGCGAATTAGAGAAAAAGAATTATACTTTTAAAAGCTTTTTAGAGGCCGAAGTTTTTTGGGTTTTTTTAAATCTTTGAAAGTTGGTGTTTTTGTTTTCATAAAGAAAGGTGATCTCCCCACCCACCAAAATGCAGAAACTTTCGATTTGAATTTTTTTTTTTCCTTGAAAGAAAACAAGCAAAAACAACTTCTACAGTACACACGATACCTGACCACAGTTTTTAACTTCATGGGTGTTGTCGGTGAGACTATATCGAGGGGGGAAAAAAACAAGGTTACCAACTGTTTTTAATTAACTAACTTGTTTATGCTTGAGGGTTCAGCCTTCAAGTGTCATATGTGAAATAATCCTTCCTTAGTGCGGTCAGTCTATTTTTACAAAACTATTTTACAACCCCAAAGCCCAAACTAACAACATTCAACAGCAGTGGTGATCACCGAAATACAACAAAACAATAAAAAAAAATAACACAATTTTTTTTTATTTAAAAAATAAATGAAAAAATAAACTGAAATTTTGTTTTCTAACTTGTGTGTTTATTGTTTGAATTCTTAATATTAAAGAAAAAGACATTAGAAAGTAATATGGTTGCTGATTAAAATGTGTTTACAGCTTCTTAAATGTTTCCGAGTTTGTATTGTAAGTACGCACAGGCGGGTGTCTGC